GGGAGCGCTGCTGCGCTTCCCAAGCGGCGCACTGTAGCAGTGCGCCACCGGGCCGGCCCAACATTTTTCTTCATACTGGGGAAAAGATGGTTTTTCAATTGAGACCTAGTTTTAAATTGCAGCCTTGATACTTACTAGCTGAATTACTACCTTAGACAAATTACTTAATCTCTGATTCTTGATTTAATTATCTGTAAAATGGAGGTAGTAATACCTACTCCATAGGTTGCTGTGAGGATTAAATGAGGGAAGATACATATATTGCCCTAATGAATAAATTATGTAGTGTCTAACACATCATGGATGCTTCTGCCATTTATTCTTTATATGGAAATTAAAATTGGGTTTCATTTTTTCTAGGTAAAAGTTAACTAAATTTCTAGCTAAATTTTTTTAATAAAAGCTTGCTTGATGCTGTTGGTATTTCACTTATAAGTTCTTTGTCTGGTAACTTTGCCTAGAGGCAAAATTAAGGATATATGTAAATACTTATATAAAGAGAAACAAATTTCCATTAAATTTTTTACTGATGAAATCAAAATATAGTAATAATTGAGGATAGTATTTTTAAATACAGGTCTACTAATGAGAAGAAAAGAATTCTTTTGGGGGGTATAACATTTCGCTTGTGGTCCAAATTAGTGTTCCCTATCATTGTATTGATTGCAGATGTTCAACTGTAGAAACCGTTCTTAGTTCATGGGCTGTATAAAAATAGGAGACAGGCTGGATTTGGCCTGTGGGCCATAGTTTCTTGATCCTGATCTGTAAGATTATTTCTGCATTTGGTTGTCATTCTTTATATTTGTCAACTAAAAAAAAAAAATTTGCAGCATTGTAACAAGAGTTTGTATCTACTTCCTTTGAAATATTACTGATATATGAACTATATAATTGTTTTCCTATAATTTTTCCATAACTACTTTCTTTTACACTTATTTCGCAGTAATTTTAGACTTACATAGAAGTTGCAAATATAATACAGAGAATTTCTGAATATTCTTTCCCCAGGTTCCCCCAATTATAACATCATACATAAATATCATAACTATTTTTGAAATTATCTTTGACATTGGCAAGTAAGCATCTATTTAAAAGTGAATTTTCTCTGTAATTCCATTTATTGATGAACTTACAACTATAATTTCACTTTTTCTTTTTACTTCCAGATCAGCCAGCATTACTAACCTGTCACTGGATCGATCTGGTTCTCCTATGGTACCTTCATATGAGACATCTGTCAGTCCCCAGGCTAACCGAACATATGTTAGGACAGAGACCACTGAAGATGAACGCAAAATTCTTCTGGTACTGGTCCAGTATCTTTGACCCCTTGCTAGTTTTGAGCGTAAGGAATGTTTATCTCACTGGTTGGTTTTTTAAAGAAACTTATAAATGAAATAAGTAGCATATGAATTAAACAGAGAAATAATTAGCTTACGTTTTTAGTGGGATAAAAGAAACAGGTCAAGGATTCTTTACTTATTGCATTAATATTCTCCTTACCCCTTTTATCTGGCAAGATCAGAATTCAGTTGCTTACTTAATAGGAGAAGTTAATTTTTAGTTATATCCCAGATTGCTGTTTAAACATTGAAGCATATTTCTCTACACATTGAAAACTTTTCAGACATTTAGCACTATATGTTCATATGGGATAATAATCAGTTTATTGAATTGATCTGTATGTAATATACTATATTCAATACTTAGAGTGACTCAAAGAAATGGAAGATGTGGCTTCTGTCCTTAAGCTTACAATTAAAGAGGTAGAAATAAGATCATTGGGAAGGTCCTTAATAGTAAAAGAAATAATACATTAGTAATAAACAGGAGGGTCAAATGAATAATATGACTATATGTGATATAAGAATTCAAAAAATAGAAAGATAGTTACTGGTGAGGGAGTTGGGAAAAGCATTACACCAAAGGGCTTGAATGTGATCTTGAAGGATGGAATGGATTTAGATACAGTGAAGAAAGAAAATCTTACTTAAAGCTGTGAGGAATGGTGTAGAGGTGAGAGTAATCATGGTATTTTCCATGGACTGAAGTAGGATTTATTATTTGGGAGAGAGTTTTAAGTTTGCGTCTGTGGGCAATGAGAATGGAAAGTTATCTGGGACAACCTGATGGAAGGCAGTAAATTCAGCCCATTCAAGTTTAGATTTGAGCTTGTATTGGCTGAGCAATATTGGAAGTTTTTTTGAGCAGGATGTAGTTCACTGAAGGCCTTCCTTTAGGAAAATTCACCTGGCAGTTGGGTATTGGTGAGGATGGTGGGAATCTAGTGGAGTGAAGATGAGTAGAAATGGTTACTTTAGATTAGTGTGATTGAGTGTTGTCTCCCTCAACCTTGCCCCATCTCCAAAGAAAAGTATATTTTGCACTTAGATAACTAGGATACTGATAATTTATGCTGTGGCTGAAAAAAATAAGTACTTGGGATAGTTGGTTTTCAAGAGAAAAAGTTATGTTAGAAATTAGATGAGCTGGGGCCGGCCCGGTGGCGCACTGCTACAGTGCGCCGCTTCATTGAAAACTTTTCAGACATTTAGCACTATATGTTCATATGGGATAATAATCAGTTTATTGAATTGATCTGTATGTAATATACTATATTCAATACTTAGAGTGACTCAAAGAAATGGAAGATGTGGCTTCTGTCCTTAAGCTTACAATTAAAGAGGTAGAAATAAGATCATTGGGAAGGTCCTTAATAGTAAAAGAAATAATACATTAGTAATAAACAGGAGGGTCAAATGAATAATATGACTATATGTGATATAAGAATTCAAAAAATAGAAAGATAGTTACTGGTGAGGGAGTTGGGAAAAGCATTACACCAAAGGGCTTGAATGTGATCTTGAAGGATGGAATGGATTTAGATACAGTGAAGAAAGAGAATCTTACTTAAAGCTGTGAGGAATGGTGTAGAGGTGAGAGTAATCATGGTATTTTCCATGGACTGAAGTAGGATTTATTATTTGGGAGAGAGTTTTAAGTTTGCGTCTGTGGGCAATGAGAATGGAAAGTTATCTGGGACAACCTGATGGAAGGCAGTAAATTCAGCCCATTCAAGTTTAGATTTGAGCTTGTATTGGCTGAGCAATATTGGAAGTTTTTTTGAGCAGGATGTAGTTCACTGAAGGCCTTCCTTTAGGAAAATTCACCTGGCAGTTGGGTATTGGTGAGGATGGTGGGAATCTAGTGGAGTGAAGATGAGTAGAAATGGTTACTTTAGATTAGTGTGATTGAGTGTTGTCTCCCTCAACCTTGCCCCATCTCCAAAGAAAAGTATATTTTGCACTTAGATAACTAGGATACTGATAATTTATGCTGTGGCTGAAAAAAATAAGTACTTGGGATAGTTGGTTTTCAAGAGAAAAAGTTATGTTAGAAATTAGATGAGCTGGGGCCGGCCCGGTGGCGCACTGCTACAGTGCGCCGCTTTAGAGCATGGAGGCGCTCCCGCCGAGGGTTCGGATCCCACATACAGACCGGTTCCCGCTCATTGGCTGAGCGAGGTGTGGGAGCAACACCGAGGGTTGCGATCCCGTTGCCGGTCCTGGTCCGGTACGGGCGCGACACTGAGGGTTGCAATCCGTTGCCGGACACGAAAAAAGACAATAAAAAAAGGAAGAAAAAAAAAAAGAAATTAGATGAGCTGAGTTAAAGCTGTTCCCCATGTATGTGTCATTTATATTAAATCATCTAAATTAGCTATTACAAGGAAATCCAAATTGAATTTCTTTTTATGAATCTAAAAATCACAGGAAAGCATTTGAAAAGGTATACAGCATCCTTCTCAAGAGTAGTTACTTGCTCTTAATGTGATTGTAGGATAGTGTTCAGTTAAAGGACCTGTGGAAAAAAATCTGCCATCACAGTAGTGGAATGGAGTTTCAGGATCACCGCTACTGGCTGAGAACCCATCCAAACTGCATTGTAGGAAAGGAATTAGTCAACTGGCTAATCCGAAATGGACACATTGCTACAAGGTATTGTGATCTTAAGAAAGAGGTTTTGATATTATTAATTTTTTTAATGGAAACATATTTGAAGATACAAAGGTAACAAATTTCTCTGTGAGTTAGGGTACTGTTTGTTTTATGTATTCGATGATTTGGAGTACTAGTTATTGAACCCTTCTCCTATCTGGGTTTTAACCAGCAGAGAATAGATGCAAGGAGCCAAATGGGGTCACAATTTACCTTATTAAAAGTAGAAGTGTGCAGTAATTCCCAAAACACAGAACTCTCTGGTAAAGCAGGATTGGAGAATGTAGCTAGAGTCTAAGGCCAATGGATTCTCCTGCTTTTGTTCTCTAACGTAAACATTGCAACCTGTGTTGAGAATTGGGTCCATAAGCCATGCCTAGGGTGTCCTGCTTCACAAGTCGTTTGCAAAAAAAGTAACAGACAGATCCTGTTGCTCAAATGGGGTCACAATTTACCTTATTAAAAGTAGAAGTGTGCAGTAATTCCCAAAACACAGAACTCTCTGGTAAAGCAGGATTGGAGAATGTAGCTAGAGTCTAAGGCCAATGGATTCTCCTGCTTTTGTTCTCTAACGTAAAACATTGCAACCTGTGTTGAGAATTGGGTCCATAAGCCATGCCTAGGGTGTCCTGCTTCACAAGTCGTTTGCAAAAAAAGTAACAGAAAGATCCTGTTGCCTTTCATGTTAACACATCCTCTTGGTTTTACTATTTGCTCAGATAAGGGAAGTAGTGGGAAGNTTTCATGTTAACACATCCTCTTGGTTTTACTATTTGCTCAGATAAGGGAAGTAGTGGGAAGAAATAGGAATGCAAACAAGTAAAGAGAGAAACAGCTTTAAGCAGTACAGCCCTGGTTTCCAATTTTGGCTATATCCTATTTTAGGTTTGTGCTTTTAGTCAAGTTATTCAATCTCTTTGAGACTTGGACTCTTTAGTTCCAACACAAGGAAAATAAATATACGGTCCTGGGAAATAAGCTGGGGGGATGGAATGAAATAATATGGGCTAAAGTGCTTTATAAGTTGTGAAATGCTATCTATAGTTATTAGTTGTCTATTTCATTTATATATATATATGTGTGTATATATATATATACACACACACACATACACATTTTATACCTATATTTGTAATATTTAGTATTGTCTTCTCATCAAGACTGTGAGCTCCTTGAGGGTAGGAGCCATGCTGTTCTCAACATTTTATACTCCTCTAGTAAGTACAGGGTGTGCATGCATTGAGTACTCAATAAATGCTTGCTGTGATTAAAATTAGGTTTTGTTAGGACTGTCTTACCAATAGGTTCTTCTCCTATAGTATGGTACCTGGAAGAATCTTTTAATTTGCTTCAATTCTCTCTTGTTTCATCTCTTACCTATCCAAGGACCATTTGAAATTCCAACTCTGACTACTTTACTTTTTTTTTTTTTAGATTGTGTCTTGTCTTGTACCTGTAAAATTATTCTGACTGACTTCTAAAACTTTTTATTTTTGTTGGTCTTGATTCAGGGCGCAAGCTATAGCAATTGGACAAGCAATGGTTGATGGACGTTGGCTGGATTGTGTTAGTCATCATGACCAGCTTTTCAGAGATGAGTATGCCCTGTACAGACCACTGCAGGTACTTTTCAGTGTTTACTGCTAATGAGAATGTAGCAGGCTTTCTCTGAAGTCTTTTTTCATCAGTGGGAATAAAAAGTAGTTGAATTACCCAAAGATACTTTTTCTATCACGTTTTCCCTGCTGTTTGAGTAAAGTTAAAATATTTTTTACTTGGTAGGTGGCAGAGATAAAAAACTGAAAAACCTGCTAATAGAGCCAAACACTTTATTCAGTTGGTGTGGCTTTTCTTAAACTTCGATTTGTGGTATTATACTTGCTAATCATTTAAATTTAGTGGTTTCAGTTTTACTCTCTGTGTTTTTAGAACTAAGAGGGAGTATATATAATAAAATGGTTGAAAAATTTAATGTCACCTATTGAAATAGATTTTGACTCTTTAGCACTATTAAATTATGTAGCAGTGGTGAAATGATGAATATTCATTTTTTTTACTCTAGGGAAGTGGAAATTATTTAAAAATAGAATTTTTAAAAGAGATCTACTTTCAGTCTTGTTTTATTTAATTTGATATATACAGTCGTGTGTTGCTTACTTAACGACAGAGGTATGTTCTGAGAAAGGCTTTGGGCATTTTTGTCATTTTGTGAATATCGTAGCATTACATAAACCTAGATGGTGTAGCCTACCACACACCTAGGCAACATGGTATAGCTGTTATAACCTTGTGGGATCACTGTTTTGTACATTCAGTTCTTGTTGACTGAAATGTTGTGATGTGTTGCATGACTATGTGTGCATGTGTGTGTATGTACATATATACACACACATGCAATGTTTAGTAACATCTTTGTGAACTAAAATTGGAAACTCAATGCTTAGAAAAGGCAAATGACCCAAAGACTGGTATGGTGTGATTTGTTAAAAATTATTTTCCAAGATGTATACTAGAGTTGGCCCAGGGTAAGAATAAATTCCAAGCTGTCTTCACTCTTAGGACTAAAGGATGAAATGAAACACTGTAAAATTTGTATCAAGGAAATGTTTTTGAGTTGGAATTCCTGTACTGGCCAGCCACAAAAAAAAAAAAAAAAGTTTTATTCATAATATGCCACCTGAGCCTTCTAGTTAGCGGAAGTATAATTTTAAGGGTAGAATTGTCAATATGATACTGGTTTATAACTTAGGTTTTGTTAATTTGCTTATTTTATGTAAATTTATTCAATTGTTCGATTTGTAGAAATATTGGGTTACAATTTTTTTTTTTTTTTTTTTTT